CTGGGGGGGGGGGGGGAGAAAAAAAACTGAGTCTCCTGCATTTTCCAAAGACTGCCTAGATTCGAGCTAAGAACTGCATCTCCTTGTTTGTGAGTGGATCTTTTCGTGGCCATTTTTTGTCTGAGAATGTCACCAAAAAGTATTTCATGTCCTTGATGCGAATTGCACTCTATCATATTTTGCATCATAATCATCATTATGAATGGAGGCATGTCAATAGAAATTGTGGCTTTTCTGTCTTTCTCTAGGTCTCTCTCTCACGTCACTTTGATGCAGTAAAGATTCCTCTTCACCCCCATCCCTTTTTGGTGAAGAATGCCATGAAATCTTGCTAGATCGAATTTTGTTTTGCTTAAATTTGATTCTAATGCTATAAATAATAAATTCTTTGCATAGTATGGCGTCGTGGCATTGGCAAAAGTGGAAGAAGCCTATAAGCATGAGAAGGATACCAAGGAAACAATTGAGGAAACTTTGCGCTCAAAGTCCTTTTATCGACTTCTGGACACTTTGGATGTTTCTGATGAGGGGTCTGATGAGAATAGGTTGCTTCCGGCCATGAATAAAATATGGCCCTTTTTGGTTGCTTGCATTCAGAACAAAAATCCAGTGGTAAGTTATCACCTGTCCATATGTTTTTTCCCCCTCAAAACCAAAGTCTTTGATCTAGTTTTCACTTGAGCAATTGTTGTATCTCTCGATTCATCCACCTCTGGACGTTGACTTTTAGGATTTTAGTTCGAAAATCTACAGGAAAAGAAACAAAATGGTTGTCTTTTACTTCGACCTACCTCTGACCTACATAAACTTGTACACCCAACAAATACTTACTAGTTGATTTTAGATTTATGCTGCTGGCTTGCTGCCTCTTTTTTCCTAATTAATATTTATTGATTTTGAGATAGTAATCCATACAACTTACAGGCTGCTCGAAGATGTCTAAATGTGATAAGCAGTTCTGTACAAATTTGTGGTGGAGATTTCTTCACACGACGTTTCCATACAGATGGGTTTCATTTTTGGAAGCTTCTGACGACGTCTCCATTTCTAAGGAAACAAAACGTGAGAGATGAGAAGGCAGTGCTACAACTTCCCTATAGAAACAGCGCATCTATATCATCAGAGGATTCGGTTGCTGAAGGTTCCAATTTGAAAGTTCAGGTCGCACTGCTCAATATGATTGCTGATCTATCTAGAAACAGAAGAAGTGCATCGGCATTGGAAGTAGTTCTCAAGAAGGTTAGTGGCTTAGTGGCAGGTGTAGCCTTTAGTGGTGTTATGGGGCTTAGGGAAGCATCATTGAATGCGCTTGGAGGACTTGCATCTATTGATCCCGATCTTATTTGGCTTCTGGTCGCTGATGTATACTACTCTATGAAGAAGAAGGATGTGCCTTCACCACCCACATCAGATTTTCCCGAGGTATCTCGACTTCTTCCACCGCCTTTATCTCCAAAAGGGTATCTTTATGTGCTTTATGGGGGTCAAAGTTATGGATTAGACATTGAAGTTTCGTCTGTGGAAATTGTATTTAAGAAATTGCAATCCAACGTTTTTCCGTGTTCATAGGATTCCCAAGTATTTATAATGCAGAGCTATATATACTTATTTTTCCTTTTCGTGTTAATATGATTCCTATATTCATGCATGTGGTAGGACATCTTTTACACCTTATCTTTAGAAATAATTAATCTAACTGCGAACTCATATGCCTGAAACAAATTAAAGCCTTGATGCTCCATACCCTATGCATAAAACAGTATCATTTTGTTATAGGACACCCCGATTGGCAACACGAACACATAAAATAGATACAGAAAAATGTAATATTAAGGAAGAGGTTTGTTGAATTTGAACCTCTTTGTTGACGAGGGAATACTCAAAAGAGGTTTCTCCTCTATTGATTTTGTTTCTTCCTGTATCTGTCTACGACTGATGATTTCTTGTAGTTATCACTCACTTCTTGGTGGTAGGTTTTGCTTTTGAGACAATTAATGTACATCTTCTTTTAATCGTTGCACGTTCAAAGAGTTGTCCGAAAATCCTTAAATCTGGTGTTTAGTTAGTCTAATAATCATAATAAGGAAGGCAGGGAAAGACATCCTATTAAGATAAGGAAAATCAGCCAAGACCTAGAACTAAAGGTATCAAGACTTCTTACCATCCAAATGTTTGGTAGATCTAAAAATTTTAATGACCAACTGTGAGGAACCAAGTGTGCAAACAAATTCAATGCTTGTTCTATATATAATTCTGATGATTCGACTGAGATTTTAGGGGTTCTTCGTTTTTCTTACATGGAATCTGTTAAACTCAATGTATGTCCAAAACTCAATATATATATATATATATATATATATATATATATATATATATATATATATAGGCGCCATATGTTAGGCAGGAAGAACATGGTTATTATTGGTTCCGTAGGTGAGAAATTTGTATTATATACATTCCTGATATTAACATCAACCGACTTCTATACGAGTTGTAAAAGATATCTAGCTTTGTTCAAGAATCAGAACAGAGCAATGACACTAGAACGTCTCAAACAAAATAAGCTCTTGTAGATTAGAACCCGCACCTTTCACGGATTTGACCTTGAGAACCAGTTAGAACATCAAGAACCGATAGCTTCACCATAGCCCTTGCAAAGTCCATGCGAAAGGTAGAGCCGTCATCAGAAGCATACCCCTTTACCAGTCTTCCAGTGTTCTCATCGGCCATTAGTTGCTGATCAGCATACAACAGTCCTCTTCCACTCAACAAGCTCTTGTAGTAATGAGTGTCGAAGCCTCCCTCCAGTGACAGCGAAGGCGACAGTTCTTGAAAGTAGGACATGCCCAAGGTAGACCTCCTCAACGTCTCTACTGATGCCTCTGGGGTTGGGGATGATGCTGGAGACACTTGATCATGACTGACATGGGTGTTGTTGTGCTCCTTCTCTTGGCATTTGAATCTCATCAGGTTCAGGAACTCGGGGTCAATTGATGGATCTGGTAGGCTTGTTCCGGAGAAGTTATAAAGACGATTCAGAATGAACTGACACCCAATCTTCCCAATGTTGTGCGCTCCTTCATAGCCAGACCACACAAAGCCAAAAGGTAATCACTGAGCTAATTGTGAGGAGAATGAGTTTGAGGGCAGAAGTAATTTTATCCTACCTAAAAGACTGACCATATCTCTTTCGTCAAGTCCTCTTGCTGCAAATAGATAAAGAGTGCGATTGATGTTGTCGTCGGGTCGTGGCAATTCCGCCATTGCTTCTTCAAAGTATGCCCTTGTGCTGTCTCGTCTGCCAGTGAAAACTGGATAGAAGGGGCCACCAGCCTAAGCGCCAATTCACATTAGTCGAATCGAAACACAATAACTGAGAATTGAACTGCAATTCTATCCCTAGTTCTAGCAAACGGTCGACTTAAGGAAGACTAGAGGAAGTCATCTCATCAGTGCCTCAAAAATTCCAAAATTCAGTTAGTACAGAAGGCTTGAAAGAAATACAAGAAATGAAAAAAAAAAGTGAAGAAGCAATGATTTGTGTATTTACCAGAACGACGGCATCTCTAGTAGCAAGGGAGAGGATATCAGCACAAGAAACCACGCGTGGACAAACCCTTTCAAGCTCCTCCTTTATTTGATCTATCTCAACGAAACCCTTCAAGGTCAAATTCGGAATAGCCTGCTTCTCACTCGAATAGGTATCGTCACCTGTGGTGGGATCCAACAGGATGGAAGCATCGCAGCCCTAATTGAAGGAACACATGACGGAAAAGGAAATGGACATGGGGAAGAAAAGAAAGAAGAAGGTAAAAAGAAGGGGAGAACATCAAGAAACGGAATCAAGAAAGGGAGATACACACCTGAATGAAGCAGTCGTGAAAGAAGAGTCTGAGGAGAGAAGCGGAGACATCTTGGCGGCGTGAGTGAATCAAAGCCATGGAAGAGCTTACAATCTTCTCGGCGTGGGGGCAAGATTGTCGGTAGAAGTCGTATTGGAGAGTTGAAAGGAAAGAGAAGAGGCGATGAGTTTCAGAGAAATCGAAAGGAGAAGAGAAGGAAGGAGGGTTGGAGGAAGAGAAAGCGATGTCGGAGACGCCTCTTGGATTGCAGAGAGAAACGAGGACAGTGATGAAGACGACTGCAAGGACCCAACCATTCAACATTTTTGGTTAAGAGAGAGAGATTTGTTGGAGTTGGAGTTGGAGTTGCAGACTGAAATCATCTCAACGCCTTCACTCTGTAGAGTATATGAACATTACCGAAAGTTCGTTAAACCAACGAATGGAGGGAAACTCGCGCCACAACGCTTAATACTCTTCTCCTCTTCCACACTACCCTTCTACCGCGCACGATTTAAAATAATAACCATATTTTTTTAAAAAATTAATTCTATGTTAATTTTAAGTTTAGTTATCAAATTTGTAATTTTGAAAATTCAAATAATTCCCCTTTCCATTAAAGAAAATTACAAAGCTATTTGATAATTTTGAAAATCACCTCATTTTAAGGAAAGAATATCATGAACAACCATAGAAAATAAATATAAAATTAGAATAATAGAACTTTTTTTTTTCTCTAAATTACAAAAAAATATCTAATATTTGGAATTTGATCGAAATTTTTGTATTCAATTAATCCATGAATAAAAAGGTTTTTAAAAAGCCCTTATTTTATAACCGGAATGTAGCTTGAATCAACCGATTCACAATCTTTGTCAATTTTGCCATGGGCGGAAGCGAAAGAAAATCCAAGGAGAAGAGGAAGAACGGAAGAGCGGCTTCGTCTTCTGAAGGTACAGATTTCCGTTACTTTTTTGTCTATGAAAATTTCACTTCCCCTCCTTTAATCTGATTTTACACTCGAAATTCTTCCGAAATGAAAGGCAGTACCCTTAGAGGAGTTTCCATTTCTTCTTTTCTTGGAGTGTATTCTCCAATAATCTACGGTGGATTGCTCTGTGTGTTGTGTTGATACTATTGTTCGTTTAAGTTCAGACGAGAAGAGGAGCAAGAGACCAAGAGCTGCAGAAGATGAGGAAAGGGAAAGCAGAAGGAGAGATAAGAGAGAGAAGCGGAAGGAGAAGAAATCTCACAAGCACTCGAAGCGCGATTCAGGTAAACTCGAATGCGCAATTTGCAGAAATATGCATGTTACGGTTCGTGTTTGGTGTTTTTATGTTTTAACAGATAGGTAGTCGAGTGGTTGTTTTCTTCTTCGTTGGTTATTTTATCTCAATTTGAAGAATGATGTCGTACAAATTGCTTCAATTCTCTGTTTAGGTTTTTGGTATTAAACTGATGTCGATTCTATGGCCAACTAATATAGAAATCAAAACCCCCTTTTTTTTATATATACTCTTCATTCATTCTCTCTGCTAGTTTTTCTGTCCGTTTCTCATAATTCATGCTGGGAACTTGTGGTTTCAAGAAAGAAGATTATCCTGCAAGAATTTGAACACACGAGTTTTTACTTTTCCAGTTTTTCTCCAGCGGCCTCATTGCAGATGCAGATGTAAAATTTGACTTATTTTACTTGTGAACGGAATTATGAAGAAGTACTTTATAAATAGGTTTCCAAAGTAAAGTTTTGTCATGCCCTGCCTTTTTCTTTCAGAGAAGAAGTCGAAGGATATTCTCAAAGGCAAGCATCACAGGGACGATCACCCTTTAGTGAGTTCTTCTGTAGTGATAAAGCATGCATTTTAGTTTATGTTTTATTCACTCTACTTTTACATTTAGTTACGAGATTGCACTACCGCATATTATCTTTTTTATGCTATTGAGCATCCCTGCATATTTCCTTTGTTTATGATTCGGTTGAAAACAGACTCTTATAGTTAAGAATGAACTCCCTTCAGCACCTCTGAAATGAAAATCTTGGATTCGTCTGATAAAGTAAGAAGATCACCGGACCGACCACGGGCATCTATTTCCTACCAGCCTCCATTTATTATTCTTAGATGGGATTGTACTTTATTATTCTTAGAGGGAATTGGGTAGTACAGAAGTACGAAATTGATTGTAATGCTCTATATGGTTAGTTTGTGTTCATCATGTATGGGTTGTTTTCCCCGACTTCACTGCTTTTCAATCATTACTATTATTTCTTGAGGTATTCAACTGCAGTAGATCTAGTATTTGAATATCCTACTATGGGATCATCTCAATTTGGTTCAGTTATGTAGAGGGCTAGAAATTACTAATGAAGTTGCACAAGGGGAATGTGTTTGCAATTTAAAATTCACCTTCTCATAACCTGGGCTTTCCTATTCGTTGTTATTTTGTTGTGCTCTTTCACTGGAAAGAACCATTGTTAACATCAAATTGTTTGGTACAATGCCACTGTATCAGGCTACTTGAAAGTAGAAATTAATATTTAAGAGAGTTGCAATAAGGTTGTCCCATCACCACTCTGAAGTATGTTAACCATGTAGTCCATTCCTTACTCTTGTATGGATGTACATTTATCTTATGTGGTGTTAGAAAAGTGAATTATTTGGCAGAGGTTGTTACTCTGAAAAATTAAATCAACCAAATCTTTTGCATCTTACAGCCCATCTTATTTCTTGTGTGGGGGAGGGGTTGTTGTGTGATGGCACTGGAACAGCATTATCCACTGAAATTAATCTACGGTTTCTTGATTGAACCAATAGGAGAAGCATCTTGGCTTTATCCATATTTGTTAGTTGTTTTGTCGCTTCTACTAAACTTCCTGCGACTATAAATTTCTTTCCTGCCTCATCAGATTGTTGTGAACCTTGTGATAAACTGCATGAATTCAGCCATTATACTGGCATGATGTTTTATTGGGAAGTTTGAAACATTCTAGGCCTATCTGTTATTGCAAAAATTCAACTTTGCATCAGTGTTTCCCACTTCAGGCTTGCTTGTTTAGTTACTTCTACAGAACTCCTTGCAAGATCTGTTCAGAGGAAGATTTGTGTGACTGTATATAATATACATTTATATATACTTCCTTTTCAAGGAATTAAATGCAATGCCCTCGTTTGTCTTAGGTTTTTTTGGAGAGCATTCTATGTCTATTTCTTATTGCTGGGCTGTCGTGTGACCCTTCTGGTTCTCTGGCCTTAACACCACTTTTGTTGATTTGTTGATTTAGAGAGCCAAAATTGAAGAACTGTCCGAGGAAGACTATTTCTTAAAGAACAATGAGTTTGCTACTTGGTTGAAAGATGAGAAAAATGTGTATTTCTCTGATCTGTCATCCGAGTCTGCTCGCAAGCTTTTCTCAGATTTTGTTGAACTGTGGAATGATCGGAGGCTTGAATCTCGATATTATGAGGGTATTTCAAGCGGGCCTCGAACATCCCATAACTGGAAAATCAAGGGGTGATAAGTTAGGATGCGTGGATTGAACGAACAAGGGAACGGATGAACAAAAGTTGTCTGAATTGTTGGATTGTGGTTTTCCTACTAGTAGGTTCCAGGCAGCTGATCGAATCTACTTACCAACACCGAACGTAGAAGAGAGTTCCATGTTGTTCTCTGTAAAAGTGTAGTCTTACTCTTGCTCTTGATATGGAATGGAAAACTTTTCTTACTTGAATGTTGTTTTATAGATTAATATCACTTAGGAAGTTGTATTCTTTTTATAGCTGAAGATTGTGCCCTTCGGATCCTTTTGGAAATTACCTGTGACCTATGCTTTGATTTACATTTTGCATTTATAGTTTGGTAGTTGATTTTTGAAGAAGTAATAGTTGTAGGAGACAAGGCTGTACTAAATTATTAATATTGTGAATCTTCACTGCATTTCCTTTGGGAATCAGATCTGCAAAAGGCAGCAATTGATCAAACTTGAGCAGTAGAGTGTTAACATGTTTGGATAGATATTCAGGGTTTGTTTGGAAATTGGTGGACTTGAGACAAGTGCTTGCAGATCTGATTTGAAAAACTGAAGCAGCTAATAATAATATGTTAATTGTTTGAATGGAAGTTTTGTAAGTTTTATATGCATGAAACAGACATCTGATATTCTGTGATGCTCTTTTAATATTTTTGGCATTAATAGTTTAGTATATTTAATTAACTATTTAGTAGTTTAAACTCACGTCTTCGTTGTATTACCACTGTATTACCCACTAATAATTAGTAAATTATGTCGGTTTCATCGGCTAATTTAGAGAATGATCAGGAATTTAGAGAATGAGCGCTCCAAAGCAAAATCAAAGACCACGAGAGTATATTGCCAAAGACCACAACTAACACGAGAGCATATTGCCATAAAGACTGCGACTAACACAAGAGCATATTGCCACAAAGACTGCGACTAACTAGAGCATATTGTGTTAATCCGTAAATTTTGGAGTGGTCTGCAGCTTTGCCACGTCATTAACCCAACCTTTTAAAATACTGGCCAACCAGTGGGACTCCGCCGTGAAACTGAGGGAGGGAGATTACAAGAACTTGCATCTCTGCTCTCACGCTCACTGAGCACCTTCCTTGTTTGACAGCAACCGAGATGGCATCCCCCTTCCGTTCCGACATATTGAAAGGGAAGGTGGCTTTGATTACTGGCGGCGGCTCTGGAATCGGCTACGAGATCGCCGCCCAATTTGGTCAACATGGAGCTTCCATTGCCATCATGGGTCGAAGGAAGCAAGTCCTCGATTCCGCCGTCTCCGCTCTCCGATCTCTTGGAATTTCAGTATTTCTCTTTCACTCTTTCTTCTTCCCTTTTTCATCATGCTTTTTTCTCCCTCTGCTTACTTGTTGGATGCGCTTTAACTTCTCCGTGATCTTACACGCCTGTCCTCCCTCTCCTTACATTTTCAATTCTTGTATTTGATAATCAAGGTGAATGTGAAAGCTTATTTGTAAACATTTGCATCTACGGTTTCTTTTTATTGTTTCGGAGTTATTAATGTTCTTATAAAGATGGGGCTTAGCTGGAGTCGTGAAAAAGGTTTTCTTCTAAGTTTCTTTGCTTTGTCATGGCAAGTACAATTATAAACTTATCAAAGCTAAAGCAGCCTATCTTACTTGCCGCTGTTAATTTAGATTGTAGTACACTGTACGATTAAAAATGAGATTACTTACGTTTTTTTTTAAGATAAACTGAAATGACAGTGCTCTAATTAACAAAGTTTTGCGGGGTTTTTTTTGGTTACATAATTTGATTTTCTGGACCTTCCTTTTTCTTTAAAAACATCTATCAATGACTTTGGATATTGCTAAAGTAGAGGCTGGAAGTAATCAGGGTGATGTTAGTTACATAAATTTGCATCTAATCAATTTAAGAGATAATAGGAAGACGAACTTGAGGAATTCGAGATATGTATAATTATTGTTCTAAAAGACTTCGATTGAGTCATGTGCTCTGCACTGTGTGCTTTTACAGATGACTCTGAAAAATACAACTAACGAACATGAAATTTATGAGTTTCCAAAAGCATATAAAATGCTGCATATGGAAAATTCAAAAGCAGTTGCATAGGTTTGTAATATGTGTATACCACACGGATGTGTAGATGGACTCACTAATATGTATAATCACCCATGTTATCCTCTGAGAACTGAACTTGATTCTGAAACCTGTTGTTTGTATACTGGCCATTGCAGGCATTTGGATTTGAAGGTGATGTTCGTAAACAAGAAGACGCAAGTAGAGTAGTGGAGTCTACTGTCAACAATCTTGGTAGTCTGGACATTCTTGTGAATGCAGCAGCTGGGAACTTTCTGGTATCAGCCGAAGATTTGTCTCCCAATGGATTTCGAACAGGTTCTTTTCGCATGCAATACCTACTGTCAATAATCTTGGTAGCCTGGCTTTTACTTGATATTAGTCCATAGGGATTAACGATCATGCAAAAAAGATTTGTCCGTTGGAAGTATTTTGTATTTTGTAGTTTTGGGTGCTCCAGAGATGTTATTTATCTTCATTTAATTGATCTTGGAACTACACTAATTTGAACGCATATTCACTCTGGAAATTAATGAAAATTGAATTCCATTGGTCATAACTCATATAGTTCTTATTCAACTCAAAGGAGTACGTGAAAATTTTCTCTGGCATGTTAGGTTGTTTGGTTGTATGTTGCGATATTTTGTAGTTTTGGGTGCTCCAGAGATGTTTTTTTTTTTTTTTTTTGTTTGTTTATTTGTTTTGTTATGTTAAATTACAAGTTTAGTCTCAAAACTTCCAAATTTGTGTCTATCTAGTCCTTAAACTTTTAAGAGTGTCTAATAGGTTCTTAAACTTTCAATTTTGATTCAATAGATACTTGAGCGTTGAATGTAATATGTCACTATCCTATTCGATGTGGTTTGAAATTTATGAACCTACAATTACAAAATCGAAAGTTAAGAAATTTATTAAACTTTTTAAAGTTGAGACCTTATAGACACGATTTTAAAAAAATCAGGAACCTACTAGACACTTTTTAAAGTTCAGTAGACTTAATTCTTAAATTTTCACCATTTTTTTTATTGCATGTGTTTGTCTTTCAAAGTTAATCTAATTATTTTAGATAGAGACGTGTTCATTTACGTAAAGATGTTTGATGAATATGTAAGATTGAAACCAGAAAGGAGTTATTACATAATACGAAATGGGCGCTTATTGCCGGAACATGCTTTTCATGAAGTGCCACATATTCTATTTACTTACACTTGATTTTAACAATCCCCTGCAGTTATGGATATTGATTCAGTTGGCACATTCACAATGTGCCATGAATCACTTAAATATCTCAAGAAAGGAGGACCTGGAAGAAATTCACTTACCGGTGGAACAATTATTAATATTAGTGCTACTTTGCATTACACAGCTGTCTGGTATCAAATTCATGTATCTGCAGCCAAGGTTAGTTGTGTTCATGTCTGAAGGTTATAATCTCTCTTTTTCGGTTGGAAGAACTTTCGTCAAATTTTCTTTCTAACAGGCAGCTGTAGATGCTATTACAAGAAACTTAGCTCTGGAGTGGGGCGCTGATTATGATATTAGGGTCAACGGCATTGCACCAGGACCCATCCAGGGTACTCCTGGTTTGAGTAAACTCGCACCTGAAGAGATAAGCAGTAAAGTAAGAGCTGATATGCCTTTGTACAGAGTAGGAGAAAAATGGGATATTGCTATGGCTGCTCTCTACCTTGCCTCGGATGCAGGTGCGCCCCTTGTTAATCATGCAACATTTCTTAATTTTCTACTTTTTGATGTTAATCTGAATGTTTCAAAACTTTTTTTTGTTGGGAAAAAAAGTCATGCTTTGAGAATGTTTTAAATGCTTAGTCTTTACATCTTGGCGTATGATCCGACATTTGAGGCCGTAATGCATATGTTTTTATCATTTTTGCATTAGAGACTTACCCAAACATGTTGCATTTGAAAAATGAGAAGTAGAAGCTCTCCATGTTTTCGGTTTAGGTTGATCTTGTTGACAACTTCCAAAAGCCTTGTTTGGTACTCGGAACACTTGAAAAAGAACTGTTGAATGATTTCTATCAATATTGACTTTCAAAATTGTTTTCAGATACTTTTTTATTTATTTAAACCTTTTATAGAAATGAATCTATCATATACAATTTTAAAAATTGAAAAGATCATTAGGTCATCGATGGAAAATAGAATGTTAAATTCCTTAACAGCATGGAAAGTATAAAAGGGTAAAATGTATTTGTTTAAGAATCTCAAATTTTAGGAGTCAATTATTTTGAAGTGCACAAGATTAATCTTTAGTTGATTAAATATCGTACATTATGTATATTTTGAAGGTAAATACGTGAATGGAACAACTATCATTGCCGATGGAGGGATGTGGTTGAGCACGCCTCGTCGCCTGCCCAAGGAGGCTGTTAAGCAGTTGTCGCGAGTGGTGGAAAAGAGGTCCAGAAATTCACCTGTTGGTGTTCCAAAGAGTAAGCTGTGATGGCGAACCTCACCGATAAATTAAGATAATCTTTATATACAGTACTTGTATGCCTTTGCTAGACATTATTCAAGGAATTCAACTTTCTGTGCACCAGAAACTTGAATGTCACTGGTAGCGAGAATTTTGAGTCCACACATTTGTGACGCTTGGACACTTATGCTAGTGAGAAAAGGTCATTTAGATTTCAAGAATAAATTAGCTGTTTATCTTTGTGGTTGCATTTTTTAACCTATTATTAGAGCACACACCACACTTGCACAGTAAAATCTCGATGCTACTGAACAAAAATATATATACAAGAAGAAATACAATTTTGCGACAGACTACACAGCAATTATGATCAAGAATGTAGAGTTAGTTACTACATGAAACCCAGGAAAAGTGAAAAAGAGAGGTATTCACACAGTGCTTACAATTCAGATAGAATGGCGGGAATATAATGCGATAGTTCGGCGGTGAGGGACTGAAATCCATTCACCAGTTGGGTGTGGAACTCCTGGTCTTCCTCTCCAATTAATCTGAAATGAACTCGAATTGCACGCTTACATACAGCCATAAATTCAAGAAGCGCAGCAATGAGTTGCTGTAACTCCTGCGACCGCAACCTCGTAGCTGGCTCACCGGACAAGAATGCAGTGCACACACTCAACACTCCACTGTTAACCTGCATTCATGGAGAAGTACATCAGAGTCTTAAAGATGAAAATCTGATTCGGAATCTTAACTTCATAAAATTATAACAGAAACTGAGTAAGAAGCTCACTTGAACTGCAACACTGCCTTGGAGTATTCTCTGGAGACTCTGGAGTCGTGGAAGTTGATCCCCCTCAGAACTGCGAGGCTCTTCCAGTTCATTCCGCAGAGCAGCGGTTCTAGTTTCAATCATTCCAATTGCATTTTCCACAGGGGAGAACTCAAGCGATTCGGATTTGGTTACTAACAGTCTATTTACCAATGCCGGGAAGGAGCCCTCGGTCTGTAGAACAGTCCTCCTCTTCCACTGGTCTTCTAGTCCACCTTGAGTCTTTCCATTTTTGGTAAATGGTGTATCAAATAAGAAACGGTCAAATACACGAGCACGGACACTCCCAGTGGATAGAGAAATGATTCTCTCTCTTCTACTTCCCAGATCTTCATCTTCAATGACAGGGTCAACTGCCGTTATCTGTAGGTAGCAAGCTCCCGGCTGCAACTCCTCCGCTTTCACTTGTCTGGAGTCTGGAATAATATGCAGTGTGTGACTGCCATCCATCCTAGATTCATATACATGACTGAGCTTCTCCATTATGTCACCTAACCGCACATCACGGGGCTCACGATAAACGTATTCCTTCCTATCCAGCTTCCCGAAACTTTCACCATAGAATCCCACCCTATAATATGTTGCATCAGTAAACGGAATTGGGCTCGACTCCTGCTCAAGGATTGATTCGTAAATATTTGTCAGTAAAGTGTGACTTTTTGCCAGTTGTCCATATGCTCTCCTACTTTTATAGACTGGAATTACAAGTTCCAGAATACTAGCACAAAAATGATACAACTCAGCTTGGGAGAAAAGCTTGTTTGCGAGCTGTAGGTACTTCACAGCAGAGTCGACAGTGAGTTTAGAAGCACCATATCCCTCGACCTCAGCTGCTGATGCCTCCGAGGTGATCTCACCGCTGACCATAGGGCATATTCTACGTAGAGCTGCTACATGATCTCTGCTCCAGACACCATCATTTCGAGCAACAAGAGCCTAAAGGAAATCCAAGTTTTTATCAAAGAACAAAAAATTTCCGTCCTAAGCACCCAGACAGAGACAATACAAATTTGAGCATACACAATTCCATATATGTAAACTACCTGCATGACCATAGCTGCAACCGCTACAGCACACTGTGCAGCTTCTGCCCATGATTGCATCTCTTGATGTGCATCGCATAAATGCAATAACCACATAATATGAAGATCAGGCACAGGGGCGAATGCCATTGCAAGTTTATAGAAACCTTCTGCAGCAGCATATCTATCCATTGACATCATAGAGGCCTAAATAAAGAAAATTACCAGCATAAGTATGGCACAGTAATTAATTGGTGCTTGCGTCAAATGTCACTATCGAAGTCTTTGGAAGGCAAAACTACTACCAGAAATACCACTAGTTTGAAGGAAACAAACTCCCTTCTGGAGTGAAAGAAAACATCATAAATAATCAGAAATACCATTAGTCTAATCTGTGCAGAGCCATATAGACTCCTCTCATGATTCCGGACTTCAGAGAGGATACTCTCCCTCTTCATTACATGATTGATGCAATTAGAGGAATTATTTTCATAAATTTTAGAAAGTTCAAAAGCGTCAACCTTATCAGCTTACACATTTTCTATATGAAATTGAGTAAGTATATTATTGCAGATCAAAAAAAAACTTTTCTATAACAGACATCCCAGAATGGTGTTAGCACCAGGTATCACTAGTTGAAGTTTTAGGGGAGAACTAAAACCAAACATATACCACTAAAGCCCTGCACTCCCAACATTTCATCTGGAATGAATAGAATGGACTGTGAGCATACATGTTCAGACCAAAAATAATAATAGCAATTAATTATCTCAACATGAATGGCCAAAAAACTTACTAAAAGAGCATGCTCTAGACTAGCATCAAGAGCAAGAAGGAGGCTGTCAGAAAGATATTTCAACTCTGACCAGGACCACCTATTGTCAGCAGAAGCTTCTGGAATTATTACAAGAGCATTCTCAGGAAGTCCACATTCCTTCAGCAGATCAGAACTCTTCGATTCATCAGCCATGTCTTCTAAGGATTTTCGAAGACGCTGTGCTTCACCACTCTCTTCAAGTGTCCCATTTGCCTTCATCTGAGTTACTTGCACATCAGACGTCAATTCTGATAAAGTAATTATGAGCATGACCCTCAATCTAGCCGTCTGCATAAAGTGACAGAAAGAACTCTGCAACACAAAAGAAAGAATACAGTATTGGATAACAAAACACGAGTTTTAAATTAGTGGAAAATGCAAAATAAAATCCTACCCTCACAAGAATCTGAAGCCCTGAAACAGCCCTTTTCCTTATGCTATCATTTCGAAAAACTGCAAGCCGAAGAAGATGGAATGTTACTTGCTTCAAGAAACGGTCATTTTCTCTCGCCATTAAAGTTGCACCATGAAGATCAAAGACACTGTTAAAGACAGGAAATAAGGCCTTGTAGAATGCCAAAGGTTGATTCTTAGAGAAGAAGCTCATGAATATGGAGGTGATGCAATCAAGTTTCCCGTAGTCAGTGGCAATGCTATGAGAAGATGCCATCAAGGAAAACTTCTCTGTTATTTCCAAAACCTGAAGGCTAACTGCTGCACTTAAGTTTTCTTCCCAAAGTTCCTGAGAGAAAACTTACAAGTTCAGTTGCCTAATACAAATATGACAGTAATGTTATACATAATCACTATCGGGAATCAAATTAAAATTGAGAATAAGAGAAGCGTACTAATTTTTGTCTTAATACTGGGTGCAGCGACTCTCTTAGTGCCTGGGCCGATGCACCAATCCTAGAAGATTGTGCCTGAGCAAGTGCTTCTCTCAACGAATATGGCTGATTTGGGGAGCTCAATTGAGAATTCACCCTCTGCCACAGATAACCATTATCAGGTGTTCCCTGAGGCTGCAATGTAGAATATACCCGACAAGAAATTAGAAGATTTTATAACCTAAAACAGCAATTATCAAGCATGGATAAAGAAACATGAGAACTTGTTCACACAAAATAATGTTTTCAGAATTATCTTTAGTAATTGTGATTGGATGAATTAAAATGTCACTTTTATTGTGCAAACTCGCAAATTAGGAACAAAAACTCCGATGATCACGTAATGATCAAACACAGGAAAAAGAATTTAAAGAAACAATTAAAAATTCTGCCAAATTGCTAAACCCCATCCCCCCCCTCTTTCTTTCCCCAACAGCACACACACGGGTAAAGAAGAGCATGAAGAGAATGGAACCCACTCTGAATTCTTGTCTTGATGCCTCAGATAGGTAGTTGTTGATTGCAGGAGATAGTCTGTCAGAGTACTTAGGGGAACCAGGGGTATCACCAACAGCAGCAGGGCTCCGAGAACTGGATCCCATAAGCATGCCATCAGCAGGTTTTCTATGCTGCAAAATAGAGGGGACATCAAGAAAACAAGTACTTCAAGTCAATCTCCATACCACTCTTGAGAAACATAACATCAGAGAGTCATATATGGTCTACATAAAAAGGAAATGATATATTATTTACTATTCTTTTCATACATATGAAAATATACAAAATCAAAGATAAGGATATATAATTTACCTTCTTTTTTATATAGAAAACAGGGAGATGTATTATTCACTATCCTATCACTATGGAAGGAAACAAGAAATAGGTACTTCAATGAGGGCTTGAGATTATTAACTAAAAATAACAATAATGAAGCGAGCAATAATATAACTAGAAACTAATGAGACCCGGCTATAGAACCATTTATCTTAGTGATGTTATACATTATCAACTAGAACAATAAGTGATCATAACAACAATCAACTACAAGATCAAAAAGCCAAATAAGACGTTGTCAACAGAATAGGGAATTTCATATAAATAACAACCTCAAAAAGAATTAGGCATTCTTCCATGAGCTTGAAAAATAATCTGGTTCGAGCAATGCTTTGTTGCCATGCCTTGACAAGTGAGGTATCATCTAAATTGCGCACAATTTGCAAAATCACAATCAAAACTTCACGCTTCTCTATGGCATTTAGGTTATAGAAGACGGGCATTTCATCTAAAATCTGCAAAAGAAAAAAAAGCAATCAGTTCAGCAAAACTGATCTTGGTTAAGATCAACATGGTGATATATTGATAATACATTCTATAATCCAATGTGCGTGAGCAAATATGGTTTGAAATATACACTTCATGCACGTGCACATTAAGTACCAACTTGGTGAATTATAAGGTTTTAACTGGAAAATAACAAAAGTAAAAAGAGATGCAACTTTCTGAAGGCATTAGCTAATGACATAATGTGAAGCTGCAATATCTTGAGTGAACAGACATAAATATAATCCTCAGATCTCCTCCAAGCAATGAAGAAACAAAAAAACCTATAAACTTTAATATTGGACATGCCTATTTGTAGCAGGAATTATTATTTTCAATCATGTAAGCTCTAGATGATCTTCATGGAATCATATAAAGGTTGACGCTCTATAAGATCAACCTACTAAAAGATGATTTTCCCCAGATCATAGAATTTATGTCTTATGTCTTGGACCACTGAGCGTATACAAGGTCCAAAAAATTATTTTCAGCCTTGGAAACAAAATTTTACTTCGGCCAAAAAATGAATATGGTAGCATTTTTTATGAGAAACTGAGCTTTGGTAAAGAAAAATGAACATATGTAAAAAGAGACTAACAAAAGGAGCCCCAACAGAAGTTATCGTATACATTAGTTGTTTGTTTAAAATATGATTACTAAGAGATTATTTTTTCTACAGAACATAGAATCTACTATCCCAGTCTTGGATTACTGAGAGTTTATGAGGTCATAATTACTATTTCCGGCCTCTGAAACTAAACTGACATATTAAGGGCAAATAATGAGTATTTATTGTTGCAATCATTATACATCCAACCAACAGAAACACAAGTCAATGATAATCGTCATATACTCCTTCCCTTGAGGTCGAATGTTCAAATTTCTACGCCCACATTTGTTGGGCTAAAAAAAAAAAAAAAGAAACCCCTATTCTGCTGATTTATAAGAAAAATATTTTTTTTCCTTTTGGTTGTGACATGACGCTAAAAAGCATAGGGTTTTATTTCAACCATGAACTAGAACATCTGAAAATTTCACAACAATTAAATCCCAATACCTCCATTAATCATTTATCTTGGTAACACATTGTTGACCTCTTCCAACATGAGCTAGCAGATAATCTTCAAAAACATTTAGTTGGCAATCTCAATTTTCCAGATTTTTTAATAATAAAGTCCGATATTCTTATTTTTTTCAACCAATGCACGGATGCACTAATTAACGTTGTAATTCCAATATCAGTTCAATACCTTAAACCATATTATTCATCACAGAACATTGAATTCTTAAAGGAGCATGATCACTAAGTTAGTCGAAATCATGTTATTAATCAAATCTGCACTTCAAATCAAAGAGAAATGTAATCACGCTTTACTACACAAATGTAAAATTTTAGGAAAATAATAATAAATCATTAAAAAATATCTCTTGGATATTGGAAGACAGCGTAGGTCATACATTTAAGCTAAGCTAAGTTTTTGACACGCTAACTTAAAATATACATAAAAGGCTAGAATAGATTAAAAGAAAAACATGCACCTGCCCGATAAGTGGAAAATACAGCTGAGCAATGTATAGTTTATCTTCAGGCTTCTGGTACCGAGCATCAAATTCATGCTTGCATAAGAGAACAACTAAAATTCTTGCCGCCTATAAACATAAATCAGATTAGAAAAAGTTAGCCAAGTGGGACAAACGCAAAAAACAACTTTATATAGTAGGTATGCCAAACCAAAACCAAGATCATCCATATGAAAATTTAAGTGCCCTATGAAATAGAGCATGATTACTTCTCCAATACAGATTGTGAATGGTCTCACCTTGGCCCGCAGAGGTAGATCATCATGATCCCAAGTAAGAAAAAGTTCTTGTATTAATACAGATGAAAGGTAGTTCCTAGAACAGAAAAAAAAAAAAAAAAAAAGGTCAGATATAAAGCTACAAGGCATTATTAAACCCAAAATAACCATTAACATGCTAGATTTAGCACCCAATTTCATATCATCCACGGGAACTCCTTTATTGTTGCAACTTCCTGAAAAATTCATGATTGGTCGGGACAAGAGCAGAGTCAAAGAAAACATCAACCAACCATTCCAGCTCAGTTTTATCAATCCGGATAGAGTAGGTGTTCTTGCCTCGTTCCTCAAATCAAAAGTTCCTTTTCCCACTTTTTCTACCAAGACCAGGGACGAAAGTTTCTACTCTACAAAGCCCTCAGTCACATGACCACATTGACTAGAAAGAAAGAGCTACCAGAGGCTAGGAAGATAAGGAAATAGGAGGCTACAAAATAGAGCTAGGAAATTCAGTGGCAAACACGGCAGTAAAAATACTGTAATCCTCACTCAATTTCTATTATGTGATATTCCAGCTGCAAGGCCAATTTAATCTCATTAATACACAAGCCTCACTGTCATTAATACACAAGCAAGTCTTTCAAAAACCAAGGCATTTCCCACAGGCTGACTTTGGCCTAATGAGTGAGAAGCTCATAGCCATGCTGACATTTTTCTCTGAATTCAACTGGTACATCACATGAACAGAATTTAAACACAATAAAAGAAACTAGAACCATTGCCCATGTTATAGTCTTTTTCCAATTCTTTTCAACATAATGAGGTAGACGATCAGTATTTATACAAAAATTGTGCAGAGTAGATTTACTAAAGGGTTCCTCGTTCTGCTTTGATTATTAAGATTCGAAAGATTTTGACCAAGCATGTGGAAGAACCATTTTTTATTTGACAGCTCTGAAATGAACGTGTTTATTATTTCCAGGGCAGAAAAATGATGTATAATCATTGTCAAAGTATATGTTAAAGATAAGGCACCTATCAGAAGGGTCTCTTCCGGGCATTTCCACAAAGAGGTCATGATCACATATAATCTGTAAAAATGTAAGCTTGCAGTCATGCAGAACAGATTGGCAGACACCTGAAAACTTGTCCAGGTACAAGGAAACCTGCAACAGATTGATTAACATAACAATCAATTTATCTAATTGGGTGAAAGACCATAGCATAGAAATGCCACATCCTGGATTCTATACGCAGAAAGCTTTTTATGCTCTATGTATGAAGGAATGTCTTTAGCAAAGCCATGCCTTTATCTCTACTCGCAAGAGAATACATGTCCAGTTATCCTTGTACTCTAAATAATTCAACCAACAACAAGTTTACACAACTAAAATTAATTTCGACTTGAAATTTGAATGGTTAGCAGAAACAAGGATTACTCCGTATTACTATCAATAGTATAATTACATCCATGACTAGAAAGAGTTCTAAAATTTATATATATATATATATATATATATATATATATATATATTAAAAAATAAAAAAAAATCTTGGTGGAAGTTCTAGATTCGTGAAAGCTCACATTAAAAAAAATGTCTTCCTCGGAAAATTTTAGAATGATTTCTTTTACCAGTTTAGATTTTACAAGTACACAATAATTATTATCTGCCTACATCCATAACTTAATATAGACCAAAAAAGAAGTGAAACAATATTTGAGAAGTAGAAAAGTATACCAAATCAAATACTTGGCGAGGTTCAATAATGGACAAAAGATCATAACAAAAGAACGCTAAACTGCTGTTCAAACGTTTAGCCAAGCTTAATCCCTTCTTGCAACGTTCGTGTACTTCAGTAAGAAGGCAATCATACAACTGCATTATACATCTAAATACACCTTCTTTCAATTGCATTGGAGGAATATCTTCACCTGTAAGGCAAAAAATAGGGAACAAAAAAAAAAAAAAGAAATTCAAAAGAATATCTTCACCGTATCAGACAGAAAGATATTCAATCATTAACCAAACAGCAACCTCTCGTTGATCATTTCAAATGTCAACAAGTAAAGTAACTCAGATAAGAAGATATTATTTTGAGAAAGAGAGCAAAGTACATAAGTAGGGGAATGCACAATGCTGAAACAACTTCATGGAAGAAGAAAAAAGGATTATCTTCCAGAAGCAGAATGTTCAAAGTGATATGGCTAGTGTACACTGAAGTAGAAATCCAATAAACCAAGTAGCAAATTTAGGGTAAAAATAATAATAATATATGTACATAAGCTTAAGCGATTATCGGTACTTTAATATGAAATTAGATTAGAAGCTTAGATTCAAATCCCTCATTGTTATTCTCAACATTGTTTCTAGGCAACAAACCAAGCTTTGATTGAGATAAATGAAGGAATGTACAAGAGCATAAAAACAATCCCATAAAAAGAGTCCCATCTCTAACATGTTATTCTCCACATTCAATATAAATAGATCCACATTTTAGGTCTCTTTATAACTTGAACCTTGGAGTTTGAAAGTAATTTAACGTATAGTAAATTTTAGTACATATATATTTTCATGACAAACTCTCACTTCCGAGCCAAAAAACCCAGGAGATTAAAAACACATTCACACTTACACAAGCAATGCATCTGCATGAATACATGTTTAGCATATACAATGAAGGTCAAAAGAAACGGATCAGCATGAATGCATCTGCATGAATACATGTTTAGCATATAAAACCTAAAAACCAGAACTTTAAACCCACCTAATGGAAGACTATGATAGAAAAGCCGAGTTTTCTCAAGTGCCATTGATTTGACAATTAGTTCAAGGAAAAACCAGGCCATAGCCAAAACATCATCATATACTGGTCCAACACGATAGCCTTTGGCCTACAAAACAGAAAAACTTCAGCAATCTCTAATATGTTTTTTGCATACAATAAATGGAAAATAATGAAACAGCATTTTAACAGAGCTTCATGACTAAGAAAAATTGGAATCAAACAAACTCCACATGGTTCATATGTAAAGGATCGTCCGTGTTATGTTCATTATGTTAACCAAGAACATAACCGACCGATCATAAATCAAAAGGAGAAGACAAGTATGAAGGTTCAATGATAACCAAAATAGGAAGGGCCTAAATGAAACTCCAGAAGGAAATAATAATTGGAAAAAAAGAAATTGATGAATGACCAACCAATGTCTTCAAGGTTTGTGCTAAACAATAACAAGTTGTGTGTGCCAGTCACATGATTCATGTACAAAAGGAAAGATGTAGCAATTCTTATGATATTAAAATAAAAGAGTCAAAACCACCTTGCTCCTAGCCAAGCTTCCCCAGACAGTGGACAGACCAGGGTACACAGGTGGCTGCCGACCCCCGAAGTCATCAAAAGCATAATCGACATAATTAACCAGGAAGTGGTTTCTTTCACCATCTTCAGCCGATTCCTGCTGCACCCTATATATTTGTCGCATGATGTAACAACAAAAGGCAATAAATAAACGATAAAAATTCCGAGCACAGACAGAATGTGAATCAAAGAAATGTCAAACAAATAGTTAATGAGAACTTCGTAAATAGAGTAAATGTATTGAGAAAAAACTGAACGATCAAAGAAACTGTATGATGATTACGTAAATTCAGAGTAAGATGGGAACTTGATCTGGAATTTGGAAAGTAAGAGCATATGCTCAAATTTTATACTGGCATCAAAGAAAATCAGAAAACTCATGAAGCATTTGAGAGGCTTAATAAATTAGACCCACATAAATGTAAAATCTACAAAACTAGAACAACTACCTAGTAACAATATTAACCATTGCTCTAAACGCCGCAACCTGAAATACATAGGACAAACTGGAATTAGATAACAGCTTGTATTGATACCCCAAAAAGAAATGTGGAATGATAAATTATCAAAATTTCAAGCAAAGTCTTATAGGCTTGAAAGAAATTAATCAGAGCATACAAAGGCCCCTGGAAAAAAAAAGGAATAAATTCAATGTAAAAACCTGGAGGGTTTCTCCACCATTGCCAATGAGATGAAGCAACATATTCAAAATAGGATGAAGGAATTGGAGCAACGCAGTGGAATCAACATTCTTCAAACTGTTAATAGCCTACATGTAACGAACAGCACAATGGAAAAGGTATTACTGTTAAATAACCACAAGCTGGCTTGAAACAATTAAAGCTTCTACATATCGACATGGCTATCTACTATTGTTGAATGAAATGATTTGAACAAAATTCTCACAGAGAGCAAGGGTGTGTGGTGGAGGGTGGAATTTTCATAAGAGTGAAAAAATATACCTCCAGAAGTTCAGAACCCCATGGAGGGCTTGTTCGAAGAGTGTGTCTATCATATTCCAGAAAAAAATCCCTGATTCGTTCATTAATGGGATACAGGGAGGAACACAGTCTTAAACGCAATTTAAAGATGTTTTTTCCATCTTCCAAGTAATCTAGCCTCTCCTAAAATTCAGAAAAACATGAATAGTAGGTTAGTAGCAGACAAACAAACGCAGATCAATAAGATCACTGAATCAGAAAGCTTCACAGTTGCAGAGGATACAATAGTGAAGGAAGCGAAACATACCCTGTTTGTATCTTGGAGGTAATGCGGAACAAGCTCTCTGATTACTGGTAAAGAAATTTCAGACCGTAACCTAAATTAAACCATCAAGATCAGAGATTTAAAATCCAGGAGATGCATAAATAAACACGGTTTACCAAAATACTGGAGCATCAGCATTAAATAATTAATAACACCATTCAAAGCCTGTTTCCAGTAACTACATTGTAGAAACAAAAAGGAATAACTGAAATTTGAAAATACACAAAATGATAATCAAGTCTTGGTAATATATAGAATTAATTTTATCCAAATTCAAAGAAACAAAACGTGAAAAGATGCATGTGCACTTTATAAAAATGCCAATCAGGAAACTGTATATCCGACTAGTCACTTTTCAAATCTTTTCAAGCTTTATTTATTTTATTTATTTATCTTACTTGATATTCATGAGTTTTGGACAAAAAAAACTTCTTTATTCAAGGTTCTTGCTCACAATATTTCCCTATTATTTTAACACGTCTCTTATCCAGAAACTAAAACAAAAAAACGAAGAAGAAAGTAATAGATTTCATGATAATTATGTACATACTGAGCATGTGCTGATAAGGGGAGTGATGCATATCCAATTGGCACCTGGAATATAACAACAGAATATGAGATAATAACAAATGAAACAAACAGATCTCATAGTATTAACCATCAGCCATATAAGAACCAAGATCCAAAGAGAAGCAGAATAGAACTTACTGGCATTGGAGCTTCTAGTTTTGCTTGCATATCAATGTTGAAGAAAGTGAATAATAAGTGATGCTTTGGTGTCCAGGTAGCAGGGAGGGAGAGTTTAATCTCATCATGGTAGCAAGCTACTCTTGCAGCTACAGCAACTTGAGTGTGAGTCCACTTCTGAAGAGAAGCACCCAGCTCCACAGGATACATAGCCTAAGAAAGTCTCCCATAAAAATCAAATATATAAGTATGCAAAATTGATTTTGCTCTCCATATATGCAGAGATCATCACCGATGGAAAGAGACAAAATTATGTGTATGCAATTGATATTATAAATATATAGAAATTTACCTCCAGAGGCTGTCTACGCGGGTCACTATCATCCTCTCTAAGTTCTATACGAATGAACAAGTTCCTCTTGCGGTTCAAACTAACAGTCATGGGGTAAACATAAAGACAGTGAAAGAGCTGCAAGAACGGCTCATTCCTCATCATAATGCGGAAGTCAAATGCATGGAACTGAAAGCCAACCAACAAACCTTATGGTCAACAGTTATGATGATAATCTGGCTACGCAATGGTGAATATTGTATAGAAATAATAGCATAAATTTCAATTTTTAAGAACTATGTAATTTCGTATGTATCCTTCACGATTATCATCAGTTGTTCATCATGGCTATTCCACAAACATCTATTTATTGAAATTAATTCTGTATAGTTTCTTTTCAAGCTAAAATATTTTTTAATTTAAAGATACTATTTGAAATCTAAGACTTGTTCCAAGATTTCTCTTCATACATCAACTACTTGAGACCCTACTCCAAAAAAAATTAGAAAACAAGGATCATAGTAAATTAGCTTTCAAGATTCACTAGAAATTAAAATAAGAATGCCTTACCCAACACATAAGATATTATTTGTAAACTATCTTCCACCAATTAAATAGACTGAGTAAAATGTTAAGAACCTCCAGTTATCTGCCATAAAATTCAAGGTCTTCTCTGGGAAATTATTTCATTCCTAAAAATTTTATGCAAGCAGAGGTTCAATGGACCAATACACAAAGGATGGAAATTTTATAAAGGCTCTCTAATTCAAAGTGGGTAGGCAAACAGCAAATCCAGCAAAGTGTTCAGTCAACATATCCCTAAATTTCATTGCTCTTATGCCTCTCGTTATTGGGCCATCATCCTCGATGCTTTTGGTTGGCCCTTGGCTTTTCCAGAATGCACATACGATTTCCTTACCAATATTTTGATGGCCATCCTTTCCATGGAGAGAGGTCTCTTTGGCTTGCTCTTAATAGTCTTCTTTTGGTTCCTTTGGAGGGAAAGGAGTGGTAGACATTTCAGAGATTCTTTTTCATCTTTTGATAGGTTTATGGATTTGATTCTTTTTCACGCTATGTATTGATGTAAACAAAATAATCCTTTTCTGATTTTAGTCTTTTTTATTTGATTTCCAAATGAGATTGTTCATGTAATCCATCTATAGGTGTTTTGGAGTAGATCGCTCCTTTTATTTCATTCATCAATGAAATTTGCTTCTCTTCTCAAAACATATCCCTTAAAAACGAGTCTGAATTGTATTCCAAACAATTCCCGACCCATATGTTAATCATTGAAAATTATGTATCTTCTCTCCTTCCTATATCCTAAAGAATTTCTAATAATCAGCAATTCCTGGTCCTTCACCCATTTATCTCTAATTGTCATGTTTAACTTATAAACGGATTACAAGCATTTCATCAATCAGAAACTACTTCAAAGCAAAACCATGATTCCAAAGCGAGTAAAAATTCAAAAGAAATGATAAAAAGACCTATGAAACATGAATATAAGGATTCTAAGACAAAGAACTATTGGGTGGTGAGATAATAAAATAAAGAACAACATCAACAATCAATCCTTACATCATCTGCACTTGAATCTGCATTTCCATGTGGATATGATCCATTACCAGAAAATTCTTTCCCATCAGAAAAATTTAACTTCAAGCTGCCACTATGATGATGGCTATCAGAACCGTTATTAGGAAGCTTCTTAAATGTGGAATCCATCTCAACAGAGTCACTGATCACACTACCACTTTCTGACATGTTTTCATTGTCAGCATGGGAAATCTGGTGCTTTTCAATTTCCAGCCTAAGAACACCTTTTACAGGTTTATGAACCTTGTACTTGGGATCCTGTAATTTGAACAAACAACCATTATCGACCACATTTAGAGGCACTTCGAGATTTTATATGGGATACAGTATATTTTGGAAAAAATAAAATTAGATACCTAACATAGATTGAAGCACCACACCACATGGAATTCAATGTTTCTCATTAAAGATGTAATAAAAATAATAAATAAATAAACAACTAAAAAGATGCCTAACATAGATTGAAGCACCACACCTGAAGTGCATCTTCCGTGTAGCCTTCCTTGACCTTATTTAAGTTGGATATTTCAACAACCACAGAGCTTCCACTAGAGCAACCCAGCTTACCATCCACTGTGACCTTTGTGCTAGGCTCAAATACACCCTCATGGGAACTAGATCCAGTTATGTTGGGAGCAAGAGGACTACTCGGGGAAGCAGATCCAGCAGATGCTGCACCAGTGCTGTTATCAAATAATGCAACAATGGCCCAGGCAAAGGATTCTCTGTAAGGCATGATTTGAGACCACACTTGCAGTTTTTGCTTTTCTCTTTCACTCAAATGCACCTATAGGTAGAGTTTATACAATTAAAGAGTATTAGTTCAAACGGTGAAACAAATATTTAAAGGATCAGGACCACGGACAAAACTGCCTTAGGCCACATAAAAGAACTAAGCAAGATTTCACAACATCCGCAGGAACAGATAGAAAAAAGACCTTTCAATAAAATTAACATTTATTTCCGAAAGGACAATAGTAGAAGAAGAGTTTGATATCATCACCAGGAATAAGGAATTGTGGGGCATAGATCCTTATGTATTTAAAAGAAAATATCCAGAGATATATACCACCACAAAGAACATAATAGATGGATTTTAAGGTGGTGGTGGGGGGAATGAAGATTGATAGAATGAAACTTCAGAAATAAAAACAAACTAGCGTGTGTATAATAACCATGCAAGATGTAACCAACAAAAAATAAAATAATCGAACTACATTAGTGATAATTATTTCAAATTAAGAAGAATTTATAGAAGACTACTCAAACAAAAGAATGGAGAAACATATATATTTAGACATACTGGTTCTTTACGTGAATACACAGAAGCGGCAACCCCTCCTTCTTCTGTGGCATGCTTCTCTAACTGAATAAAAAGACAGACTGATGCTGATGGAGCCTCCAAATAGAAAATTCCACGTGGTTCGAATGCTATTTTAGGCTGGAACAATAATGGACAGAAATCATATTCATCATTCACTAAACAAAACCCATGGGAGATGTAAATTAAATTCAGAGGGGGAAAGCATAGAGGAAGTAGCTTACATCCTGCATTTCTTTAGGAGTAATGCGAAAATGGAAATCCTCAGATAGTTTTTCTCTTCTCTCCCTATTATACAAGCAAATTGTACCATAAAATGGCTCTTTGGAAGTGGTTGAAAGTGGAGGGTGAAGAGAGAAATATATCCAAGTCAGCCATCATAAAACGAATTGAAGTGAAACAAATGCAAAGAGCAAAGAAGAAGATGCATGAACCCCATGAAGATAGAAACCACTCTTAAAAACACTTACCACACAACCCCGCTTGAAGGGATAAGGATAGAACTTTCACAGAAATCTTCAAGCCACTGACATGATTTACAGGAGAAACAAAAAATAAATAGTGATTTAGACTTGTAAAAATAGTAAAATAGTTAAATGAAAGATAGAATTCTGAATATAATTTTTATTATTGCCATACTGTGTTACAGGAGTTTCTGGTATCCTCTGGCCAAATATCATTGACCTTTCATTTTCCCAATCAAAAGCTGGCTCATAAGCTGGAAGAGGAGAATGATCAAACTGCTGCAAAAATATTAGAACTACATTATACCTGTCACATGTAAGCATGAAAGATAATAATGGGGGAATGGAGCATGCACTATAGTGTCAGATAAACCTAGGTTTATCGCAAACCTTTGGAATATTTGATGACAATGGATCATGTGTTGTAGTCTCTGGCCGTCCAGAGGTACTAGGTACATCATCCTCTGTAGTATCGTCAGGCTTCATGCGCCTAGCGTAAGTAAGACGCATTTCTGCAAAGAAGTTGGAAAATTTATGTGGAAACAAGAACAAAATTCAATGTCTAAATCAGAAGCTCTATTTTTCATATGGAAAAAGTATAAAAGAGAAGCACTACATGACAATTGTGAACTGTTTTGATAAGTCACACGAGCTTTCATTAGAAAGTATGAATTAATAAAAGTTGGATAGATTATCTACGGCCTAGAAGATTTCTTTGGATAGGAAAAGTCTAGAAGATGATAGAGGAAAACCAAACAAAAGAGAACAATGAAAGCAAACATATATCCTTGACAAGTAAATCTCTCATTTTCTAATTATTTAAAAAGAACATATAACAATATTGTTCTGCGACCAAAATCCCTGTGAAGGAACTTTAAGACCATCTCAATTTCAAGCATCAAAACAATCAGTTCCTTTATATTAACTAAATATATCTTCATTCACGGGGATCTTTCCCCCTCAATTTGTAGCTTGTATAATAGGGATGAGGAGACTTTCAATCAAATCCCCATTCATTGCCCATCTCTCAGATGGCTTGGTCTTTCATCTTTTGTCAGCTGGATTTTGCAGTCTGCCTCTTTCCTAAGGTTGAGAGTTGGTTTTTGGAGGCTATTGCATGAATGTGCTTCAGATGAAAAGGGAAGGCTCTATGAAATTGCATGGTTCGAGCCCTTCTGTGGCATATTTGGAAGGTAATAAACCATATGATTTATGAGAATGAGTCAACTTCACTACATCTTTTCTGTAGCAGTGTACAACATACAACCTCTTAGTGGTGCTCCAACAAACTAAATTCTTTTGTAATCATAGTCTTTCTATGATCATCAATGATTGGAAGGCTCTTCTTTTGGAATATTTTCCAGTCTTTGGGTGAGGTTTTCTCCACAGGGCCCCTGAGCTGTTTCTCCTTTTTGTGAGTAACATATCGTTTTTATCCAAAGAAAATCTTAACAAAATACAGGGTCCCATAGTCAGTACTACCCACTGATATCAATTGACACAAAAAATTATAGGAAGTAGTCACTGGCTAGTTAATGTGATGAGAATTGTAATTAGCATGTTTGAAACTTAAATGTGTCATACTATTGATAGGCTATATGCTTGTAGCATTCATAAATTAAGATATTAATTCCTTAATTCGGGAGATATATAATTTTGGACCCACACAGCGTTAGCTAGTTTTATAACTATTATGATCTACGCTAACTGTTCGCTAATTGGTCATATTCATAGCACATCTAATCTCAATTTTCAGGGTCAATTCATGATAAGTAAACATACACACTCGGAAAGGTGACAAGCTCACATAGACGAGATCCCTAGTCCCTTCTACTGCCCTCAGAAAGTACCTGCCTTCAATTTTATCTACAGAACGACAAATGTTTATGACTTGTATGAATATTAATGAAGATGGGATTCAGAACTTGATGGTGACAGGTTTCATTCAGAGTCCCAACTGTACGTATGTATGTATTTGCGTGCATAAATCCTATCTATAACGAAAATGAGTGTATGTCGAACGCCATCCAGGCTAAATATCAAAATAGTCAACAAAATAGAGTGTAAGTAGTAGATACTAGGTACTTGTAACGAAATGAAATGAAACGATAAGAGAAAGCAATTTTACCAGTCTCAATGTCAGTGTCGGGGCCTTCATATATCTGATTCTGAAAGGACACGGGACCAATAGTCTCATAGTGACCGTACTTGTTTTCATCCTTTACCCAGTCAGTGGAATAGCACTGCACGAGCTCATTGAGATGTGGCCATTGCTCCAAATTCTCCTCAAACTGCACAGAAAACGAGAAAGGGTAGACACAAGAGCTTAAAAAGAAGTCAATTTGGAGCCCGTGGGCGAGCGAGGAAGAGAGGAGAAGCACCATTTACCTTGTTGTGCCATTTGATAGACGCGGGAGTGGAATCTCGGCGATGTAGGAGATGCATTGCTGTAGATCTAGGTTTTGGGGAGAGGGTTAGGAGGTGCAGAAGCAAGATAAGAAGAAAATAAAAATAGAGTTGAGAGGTCTCTTTCAAATTTGGTATTTAGGAAGTGGATACAGGTAGCGAACCTCAGGAAGAAACAACAATGGCGTAGTTGGTAGATCTGTAGTCAACAGGAAAAGGGAGAGAGAAATGTGGAGGAGGCGTAAAAGAAACACAGAGGCGCCAGCAGATGAGAAGCTCAAGCCATTGCAGAAGAAAAGAGGCAAGTGCGGTACAGTACAGTCGGAGTGGGAGTTAAAGTGAAGGAAATACAGCAAGACACCGAATCTTGGGGGCCTAATTAATCGTTTAATAAGCGATTCGGACCCTCGGTTTTTGGGTCTTGTTTTTATTGTTTTTTTTTTTTTTTTCTTTTCTTTTATGGACTCCTTTTCTTTTAGTGAAAAAAAATTTAAAAAAAATCTTCCTTCGTGTAGCTTCAAAGAAAAGCAAATACTATATTAAATCCTCTACTCCCTTTGCAAATGCTTATTTGAACAACTAATGCACATGAGTACATACAACTGCTTCAAGAATAGATTAAGATTAATGGATCATTGTGAGATCCCATGTCGGTTGGGTAGGAGAACTAACTATTGTTTATAAGGGCGTGGAAAACTCTTCCTAGCAGTTGCGTGTTAGAAATTTGAGGAAAATGCCGAAAGGAAAAACTCAAAAGGACAATACATGCTAACAGTGGCCTTAGGGCGTTATAAATGGTGTCAGAGGCAGACAACGGGTGATATGCCAGTGAGAAGGTTGAGCCCCGAAGGAGGTGGATACAAGACAGTGTGCCAATAAGGACGTTGGGCCCCGAAGGGGAGTGAATTAGGAGGTCCCACGTCGATAGGAAAAGGGAACGAGTGGCAGCTAGGACATTGGGGAATCCCAAAAGCGAAAACCCAAATAAGACAATATCTATTAGCGGTGGGCTTAGGCCGTTACAACCACGGTAAATTTTCAAAGAGAAAATTAGTTTATTTAGCCTTCATTAAGATTATGCAGATTTTTTATTCCACATTTAACACAACCATCTCTTTAATAACTTTGTCATGTATAGCTCACGAAATGTACACGAGAGGAGCCATCCCCATGAAGTTGGGATCTCGGAGCACAGCCCCCTCAGTAAGAGGCCATGATTGTGATGCCATTGGGAAATCAGTAACTTCATGGTATAAGTAAGTAAAAGCAGTTTGCAACAAAAAGATAAAAAGAACAAAACCATCTCTCAAGTTGTATTAGTCTTTATTTGAACATCAATGAATTTCTTACTCGGTCAGTTCTTACAACTGGAATGAGGAGGATGCTTCCTCAGGGGAACACAAAATTGCAAATATCATCAAAGAAAGATGCATGTGGGACTACTTTGCATTATCATTATCATTTGGGGAATTGAAGTTGAAGCTTTAAATGATAAGATGTATCCGTAACAGATGCTTGCCTCTCTGTCTGAAGAAAAATAGCTATCCCTTGTGCAAAAGCAAAAGACCCTGTCCCCCCAACCACTGTCATTTCTTCTCTGTTCTCATGCCCTATATGTTTGGCATGGACGCTCAAGCTGCCCGAATATTCCGGTGTGTCGAAACTCAGATAGATGATATTGAACGACGAACGACCAAACTGTTCATTAGGAATGATGAAACCTTGAGCGTTTCCGACGATCTGGGAAGTGTTCTCGAGTCCCTTTGTAAGCATTCGTCGGAAGACAAAAATCCCAGAATCTGGACTTGGTACAAGCTGCATATTGTTAGATCTGGAATTTGCCTTAGAATGTGGCTGTTGAATGTAAAGGGATAGGTCCGCCCATGGAGGTTTGCTGTCGTGCTTGGCCTGTTTTCTGTGGGATACCGGCGAGAGCAAGGCCAAGAGAATAACAGCTAGGATGGCCAGGCAGATTGCAGCGCAGAATATAATTCTGTTCTTCATAATGCATTGAAAAACCAACTTAAAAAAGAGACATAATGTATTGATTATGAAGTAGTCACTTGATACATATAGCTCAATCACCGTGTTTAAAGTTTAGGTCAACTAATTCAATTTTTTTTACTTTGGCACCTAATCCATCGTCCGCCATGTTATACATGGAGGGTCGGTATTTTAAGAAAATGCCTTTTTGTAAAGGTCAATCGTCTAACAGGATTTGGTGTTCCCTACATAACAAATCCACTATTAAATCCAATGACTTCTAGTCCATCCTGCTTATGCTGCAACATGAGGTTATAACTTAGATGTGTTCCTCCTGCACAGAGAATCCATGGATATGCATTTATTGAAGGATTTGGACAAAAGTTTAGAACAAGATGAAACTTCATAATATGCTGCTTGATGGTCATTCAAAAAAATAATTCAAGTAGATACCCTTTCGTTCACGAGCAAGGAAGTGTCCGTTCTCAAGGCACACTGACCTGCACAGCTAAGGTGCAAATGAAATATCATTTCTGTAACACACAGCCAAGGCAAATCAGAGGCTCGCAAATAGTAGAAATTCTGCATTATATTCAAAATTATCAACTTATGAAGTGTGTTAAGGCTAATCTGAGCCAAGTGTCAGGCTTCAACTCTTTAATGCTGTACATCCACCCTTCCAGCGTCACCTTGTTCCTAAGATTCAAAACATGGGCACCGAACACACATATCTTTGAAAGAAATAGCCAAATAACAAGCAGCCGAAGTGAAGACTGGCCCTCAAATTGATATATCACACCATTTACAAATTTATATGATTGCTGTCTCCTGCATCCTGGTAAAGTTCAAAGCAACTTTAATTGAATTAAAAGCAAAGAAAAGGATGAAAAGAAAACTAAAATAAAGTGAACTCAGGAAAAGAATAGACATGAATAAAGATGTTACCTGCAAGGAGGTAAAGAAGAACAACGAACAGCTATGCAGCGATGTTATTTCCGCTCTTCATCTATTTGTCGATAATGCATTCTCAATTCTTCTAATTACAACACTGAGACTGCTTCCACTTTCCAAGGCTTTGACTGCTACTTGGTGTGCATGTTTGTGCCACTTTAGCAGATTGTAAGATTGTAGAACAGCCCATCTTGCTTGATTTGACATCTGCAAAGTGAAAATAGCAGCAGAAGTCAGAAAACAGGTCAATATATCTGTGCACATTGGAAGAATATGTCAACTCAAGCGCATTAGATTGAGAACCTGCGCAACAGACAATGGGGGTTGCAAAAGAACGCAGATACTTCTAAACAAATTTTCATCATTCTCTCCACCCTCTGCTTCCCCGTAAACAAGAGCTTCAGCTGCAATGCCCGCAAAAAGAACCATGCAGTACCTGACCACAGTCATGCCCAAGGCATCGCCAAGTTAGATATACAGAGTTTCAGGCATGAAATTGAGTCCACTCATATGATCACTAAAATCAGAAAACATTGCTAAGAACTGTCTCATATCTTTCATTATTTTGTAGATCCCAAGCCTTTGGTGCCTTAAAAGGCTCAGGAAGCTGAAGGCAAAATATTGCTATTTACGCTCTTTCTCGGATTTACAATACTATAGTAGGGGGAAAATGGAAAAATGGTTGTGACCCTTTTCAAAAGGGACAACTATTTAACATGATCACCTGTCAAAGGAAGTACCATCCAAACGTCCTTCAGCGAGGTTGCTTGCCATTTTTTCATCCCAAAACTGAGTACCTGCCTATTGAATTCAGAATAAAAAGACTGATCAATACAGAATCAAAGATTTCACATTAAGCCATCCAAGTCTAACAGTAATCTCTAACCTATTGCTTATCCTTTTTATCAAATTGACACCCTGATATGAAGTATTGTTGAGTTTATCATATTGAATTAATTTTATTTTCATTTAGTTACAAAGCCACCTGCTTGATGCATGGATGGATACTTCATATTCAAAACATTTTCAATTACCATCATTTCAAGACCATAGTTTGAAATGCATATGAAGGGATTGTTTACCTGTCCTTGTATCCCCATTTGCATAGCAACAATCGGATCTAAAATCACTCCACGAATTGGGCAGCCCATGAGGTAAGCTGCAATAGGGTACAGGGAACTTTTATCAACATTCAGGAGTTGTGCTTGCATAATTGCATGAACTACTATTCCAAGTAAATAGCATTTGAATTAAACATAACCACAGAGTTCTGCATGAGGCAAAATTAGTAGAACATACCAGTCAGTAGATGTCCAGCTTCATGTACAAGGATTCGACGCCTATATGGTGGCCAACAGCTTGAGATTTGCGCTAGACAAGTACCACCAAGGAGGATAGAATCCAAAAATGCTAACCCCAACAGTGCGAAAAGGTTTGGCCTAATATCTATGTCCCGGGAGAGCAGAAATGATGTTCCACCAAGACAAGCAATCAAAGCATAACGAGAGCTGCCTGAAAGGCCCCACTTCTTTGGAGACAATTTGGACACTGGAATAGCAGAGGAGGCCAGAAAAAGAAAATTAAGTGATACGTTGAATATGAAAAATAAATCCATCTGAAAGCAGAGATTTATCAAATCACCTTCTAATCCAGTTGTAGACTCCAATACAGAGGGCGTGACATCTCTTGGACCCTCCAAAACTGCAGGTATTGTCATATCATAAGTATGAATTAAGCTCCAATGAGTAGCATAAAACTGGTGGATAAAGTTGAACAATGATAAATTTTGGCAGCCCTCGTTGTTGATAATGTTTAAACGTTGATAAATTATACTACGCCATAACTTCACAAAAGTATAGAGCCTCTCAAGGCAACTCGACATACACTGATCATTAAGTTGTTTCACGCGGCTTGCATACCTTTCACCCAGAACTATCTTCACGAAATAACAGACAGGAACTCATTTCCAAAGGTAAACTAAAAATTCCCAATTTGATACCAGCAGAAAACATGGCGAAAAAACTTTAACACTATTGAAATAAATTGACATAGCGGAGACTGTGAAAAGGGTGTACCAATGTTCCTGCATTTTCCAAAATTGGGCAAAAATCCTCTATCCCTGAGAAACCCATAAGCATTGGCAACAAGCTTCATATCATCCGCATTCAAACAAGTGTCTAGTACCTCCCAGTCCCTCTCCCAGCCAGACAACCGCGGATTCCCAAGAGCGGACGGGGCGGAATCAGAACGTGCCGAATCATTGGTGGGTTCGATTGTGCTTTCTCTGCCAAGGGATTCGAGAAACCTAAGAGCTTCAGCGAGGTCCTTGCGCTTCACTGCCTCTTCATATTCTTGCCATTCGCGAATAGCTCTAGGCAGAAGGAGGAGACGCTGATGGCGTTGTAAATGGAAATGTTTATTGATTCCATTTTTTTGCTGGAAATGGAAGGGAAATAGGCAATGGAAAGATTGGAATTGGAGAAGAGAAGGTGAAATTAGGAGCTTGGGAGGACTATGGATAGACATGAGACCGTGCAAAAGTGCAGCCTTGCGCAATACAAGGGGACTCTTGAAATTGGCAATTTACGAGGATCCACCCTCAAATCAACCCCAAGTAAAGTAGCGACGGTCGTTGGCGCGCCCAAATGGAAGCCTTCTGCGCGGAGGGCTCAATTGGATAAAGAAAAAGAAGATACCGAAAGCAAAGTTATGAAATTGAAAATCGGGCATTTTGAGCAGCCAACCTCAAATGTTCATCATATTACTCAACTACCCAAGACGATCAGAATTAATTTGGTGGTGGATTTAACTTTCGAGTTTAGCAGTGTGGCACAACCATACTAAAAAAAGAGTACGTTATAGACATGGTGGCACGCTGACTATCATTCATCAAGTCATGTCAAGGACCGAAAGAAGTGTCATAATATGGTTGAGAATAATGATGCATTGCCCAACACACAAAAAAAAGTGGACAAGATTGTGAAGCCTACAAGTAGAAGCGATAATATAGTCAACGTTTCAAAGACAATCTGAGGAGTTAGTGAGCCATTTGCCATAACTTCAAAAGTTACATTAAGTCGTGAGATTCAACAAGCAACTTTGGAATCAAATATGCATAAGGAAAATATCAAATGAACGATTCACGTTGGCATATGACTCCTCACTAGTTTGATGTCCATAAGTGCCAGATAGGTCCGTCACTCTACGGAACACTAATATGTCATGCATAGACGAGTATTGCAAGACAGGTCTTTAGACATCTTCCTTCAAAATAGATTTTTGAATACACTATCAGGTGGCGTCGTCATAGTGCCCCTTCCCTTGAGTCAAAGGTTGGGACATAGGGTAAGACTTTTGGCACCATATGTATAAATAACTCAGAGGTGTGCCCACATTTTGTTCATAGAGGATAAAGAGCATGAACGAAGGCCACAACTTTGCATTTGACTTGCTTTGGTTGCTGCCGTTTCTGTTCAACCATGCACTTCAATTGCCTTTTGTGCACACGGAATCTTTTCTGGATTATTCCAAGCGCACCTTTTCTTGGTCGGTGGGGAGCTGAGGTAAGGCATCACGGGCGATTGGATGGGGCATGAGCTTGAATGGCATTTTGTTATTCGTGTGAATCAATTAAAGTTTAAATATTTGATAGAATTATGATTGTAATAATTTTAATTCAGGCTTTACTGGGAAGATAAACTGAAAGAAAGGAAAATGAAAAAGAAAAACAAGCGTTTCAATACCCCTGGGATTTTAGGAAGACCACAGAGAGACGAGACCACCACTTCCACTCCCACGGTATTCGCTTCACCCCATGGAACTCCCACAAATAGGTCTAAATCCCAACCCGTATACCCCGCCGCTGATCTTCGCTCCTCACCACGTGTCCGCTTCCTTTTCCATTTTCCTTCTATAAAATCTTCCTCCTGCCCTCCCCATTTCCTCCGTACTTCGCTTTGCCTCACTCTACACCACTTTTCTAATTTCTCATCCTATTCCTCGTAAGTTTCGCCGATCCCATGCGTATTTCTCCCTCCCCCTGCCTTTTTCTTACCTGGGTTCTTTTTTGATTCGTTGTTTTCTATGTTATTTCTCTCAGGCGATTC